AGAGAGAGAGAGAGAGAGAGAGAGAGAGAGAGAGAGAGAGAGAGAGAGAGAGAGAGAGAGAAACGGTGAACTGGTGAGCAACAGCAGTGAGAATACAGGTAGTCCTCAACTTACAACAGTCTGTTTAGTGACTGTTCAAAGTTACAACGGCACTGAAAAACGGGACTTAGGACCATTTTTCACACGACCGTTACAACATCCCCATGGTCACATGATCAAAATTCAAACGCTTGGCAACTGGTTCATATTTATGACTGTTGCTGTCCCAGGATCACGTGATCCCCTTTTGCGACCCTCTGACAAGCAAAGTCAATGGGGAAGTCAGATTCACTTAACAACTATGTTACTAATTTAACAGCTGCGGTGATTCACTTAACAACCGTGGCAAGACAGGTGGTAAAATGGGGGCAAAACTCATTTAACAACTGTCTCGTTTAACAAAAGAAATCGTGGGCTCCACTGTGTTCATAAGTCAAGGACTACCTGTAGTTAATTTTGGTAGAAAAGATGTACAACATTATTGTAGTCAGCATAGATGGGATTGTTACCATTTTATGCTTAAAATGCTGGGATGTATGTTTGATTGCTTCTGTGGGACATTCAACTCTGTATCTCCTTACCAGATTTCTTTGAATGGGCGTCATTGGTTGATTTGTTAGCTTGATTATGAGATTTGCAAAACCCTGTTCAGCATAAACATCTCTTCTAGCGACATGTATGTCAAAAATTCAGTAAATCCTGATTCACTGAATTTTATAAAATTAATCCTCTTTTGATAAGTGTTAAGCCGAATGCCCCTAAATCCTATTGGTATTGAGGTCACTCAAGACAGTTGGAAACATAGCTCCTTGCTTCGCATCTTGGCTTGCTTTAATCTCAGTTTGGCTTAATCTTCTGAAAGCGATCAGCTTTCTGAACCAGATGGTCCTCTTTGTTGTTGTTAGTTGTGAAGTCGTGTCTGACCCATCATGGACAACGTTCCTCCAGGCCTTCCTGTCCTCTACCATCTTCTGGAGCCCATTTAAGCTCACGCCTCCTGCTTCAGTGACTCCATCCAGCCCCCTCATTCTCTGTCGTCCCCTTCTTCTATTGCCCTCAATCTTTCACAGCATTAGGCTCTTCTCCAGTGAGTCCTTCCTTCTCATTAGGTGGCCAAAGTACTTGAGTTTCAACTTCAGGATCTGGCCTTCTAAAGAGCAGTCGGGGTTGATCTCCTCTAGGGCTGACCGGTTTGATCGCCTTGCAGTCCAGGAGACTCGCAGGAGTCTTCTCCAGCACCATAGTTCAAAGGCCTCCATTCTTTGGCGCTCAGCCTTTCTTGTGGTCCTACTTTCACAGCCATACATTGCAACTGGGAAAACCATGGCTTTGACTATACGCACTTTTGTTGGCAGGGTGATGTCTCTGCTTTTTAGTATGCTGTCTAGGTTTGCCATAGCTTTCCTCCCCAGGAGCAAGCGTCTTTTAATTTGTTGGCTGCAGTCCCCATCTGCGGTGATCTTGGAAGATAAAATCTGTCCCCTTCAGTTCCCCCCAAAATCTCACATTTTTCAAATAGATACAGACTGACTGAAAGCACCCAACCCATTCAACCTGCATCTTGATTTAATTCCTTTTGGGGATTTGCACAATGCATGGACTGGTAAAATAACCAAAAAGCTGAGTTCCAAGTTTTTAAAAAAAAACTTAACCAGTGTTAATACTAGCCTAGTTCACATGTTATGCTAAAGCAGACATTAGTCCTTTTACTGACCTGGTTAAGTAGATTGTATGAATGCCACCCTTTGTTTGCCTTGGAACTTGCTTCTGAGAAAACAAACTGATTTGTGATGAGTAAATGGAAGCTTATATCACACCCGAAGAACCGTTGCAAATTAAACACTTAGCAGTCAACCTGCACACCCATCACGCACGTCCCTGCTCCACTTCTCAGCTGAGAAGATCCATAACAAGAACATTGCTGAGATGGGCTCTTCAGATCTGGTCACCCCAATCAACCTTGCACCCTCGTTTAAGAAGGAAGAAGGATCCCAGGGAAGTTTTGGCAGCTTGTGTAAAAATAATCTGCTTCCATTTTGGGTGAGTGCAGGCCGAATGTTCATACCAGCAAAGCAACGAACTGGAAATGCCAGCCAGAATCCATTGGCCGTGGCCCTGCTCTTTGCACACCTCAGCCGAACGAAAAAGCTTATTTGGATCACATCCATCTTTTTCCCCTTTGGCTTGTTAGAGTTCTTGGAATTAATAAAGATAGGAAATTATTCTCATTCTCTTCTGGAATTTGGTTCGAAAACATAGGGGGATGCGTGAAAAATGGCAAGGGGAAAGCGATTCCAATGATAAATATTGCTGCCCTGCTGAAAATCTCCCTGCAATTTTTGGTCTTCCGGTTTTTGTCTTTCAAGAACTGCCGTCAGAGACTGCAACCACTTTTCTCTGCATTTCTGTCTTCAATGATGTTACGACTTTTCACTCAACTCTCAACTCTTCATTTTATATTTACTCTTTAATTCAGCCAGGTTGGCGGTCACAGAACTAACCAAAGCAGACAATCGGACACTTTACTAAGAGTTTTAAACATGGAATGAAACCTGGATACATGTAGTTCTTAACTGATAGGGAGAGCAGTCTATATCCTTCCTTCCTTCCTTCCTTCCTTCCTTCCTTCCTTCCTTCCTTCCTTCCTTCCTTCCTTCCTTCCTTCCTTCCTTCCTTTTCTTCCCCCCTCCTCCATCTAGATCAAACTTGGTACATGTTTCTGGTAGAGGCTGATATACCAGCAGATGTTGGGATAAAGATAGGAAATTATTCTAATTCTCTTCTGGAATTTGGTTTGAAAATATAAGGGGATGCGTGAAAAATGGCAAGGGAAAGCGATTCCAGTGATAAATATTGCTGCCCTGCTGAAAATCTCCCTGCAGTTTTTGGTCTTTCAGTTCTCGTCTTTCAAGAACTACCATCATAGACTTGCAAACCGCTCTGTGTCTCTCCACATTCACACAGCATGTTGTTATCCACTAACAGCCTCCACTTGAGCATATTGGTTTTACATTTAGGGCCTTTGACCCTCAACCTGTTCAGGATCTTCCAAGTAATATAAAGGAGGTCAGAGATCCTTCAGCCAGATCCTCCTTTAACATCATTCCTTGCTGGATGGTCTTCTTCCTCCATCTTTGAATTCAAAGTTGTTCTTGTCCATATCATTTTTTTCCCCTTGCTTCAACATGAACAAATGTACCGATCAAAAGAGAGAGAACTAGGAAGATGAAGTAAAAGTGGAAAAAAATCTGGATCTCAATTGCCTGGATCCATGTGGGAGCTGGACTACAAAACCTCTGGAAGATATCAAATTGCCCTTTCCATTATAGGACTGCATGGTGTCTCTGAAAATCTCCCAAGGGCGGCAGTCTTCACAGTATCTCACATAAGGCCCTTAATTTGGTATTGGAAATTCAGCCATCATTAAAATATTAGCTAATGAAATCACCTGGGTTTGTATTATAATAAACCAAAAATTGACTATATTGTCGGAATGCCAAACCTAGGTTTGTAATCGATTTAAACCTGTTGAGTGAACCCAACTTGAGTTGACATCTGGAAAGCAATCTTGGGTTTTTGTTTTTTTTTAAAAAATCCTCTCGACACATTTTGTAAACGAGACCGATTTTGCATTTATTCCAGAACTTCACTTTGACCCGAACGGTCTGCACTTGTTATGTTATTAATTATTTTAATTAATACAGGAGTTACTTTTTGCAAAGGAGAAGATTTTCCATGGAAAAAAAAATCTAACGGTGGAAAATTTTGCAACCGGGGAAAAAAAAAAAAACCAAACGAAATTCAGAACATTTTTTTCATTTCGTTTGAGAACATTTCTTCGGAGAAAATATTCCATCTCACATTGCTGTGGCTGGATGGAGACCAAACATGTTGGGGTCACAGCTAGTTTTGAGTTGGGGACAGTTTTGGACATCCGGAACCAAATCTGCTGCCATTATTCTGTGTTAGGCTTGGAGGAAGAGAGACAGGTAAGATATGCAAAAGCATGCAAATAATCCTTTAATGTTAGTTTGGAGGACGCAGCACTTCCACAGTCATGAACCATGCAACTTGATTAAAATTCATTTAATTAATGATCATCAGAAGAACCGCTCCTGTGGATTATCAGCGCTCTCCAATTAGCTCACAAATCACATGCACACATGTAGGCCCCAAAGGCTTATTCTGGATGCTTTCCCGCAGCCAAGTGTTAATTACGGCTTCCGAGGTAAGGCCAAAAACTTACTTACATTTTCCTGGTTCTGTTTTGCTTTCCTCCGTGAAAATGAGGCAAAGCAAACAGGCACAAATCAAGCGGACATGTTCCAGATTCCACTTTTTCTTCATGCCGGCCATCGAGGAAGGGGAAGTAGATGATCTTTTGATGTAAAAAAAAAAGTGGTGCAGTTCTAGGAGAGGAAATATAGTCTTATTTAGAATGGACCCTGCTCTTCAAAGTGAATTCTTGCAAGAAAATTAGGCTGATATTGAAAAATGGGTTCAACCAGGCAAAGGAGACCAAACCGGGTCTGTAGGGATTTTGTTCTGGTGCAGAGTACCAAAAGAGGCGCTTTGCACGTTTTTATGTGCTGCAAAGTGTTTTGGAATACACAATGAGCACAGTTGCACTTAATGCTCCCCCCCCCCGCCTAGAGGACATTGGGGAGAAATTAATTTAATTGGCATTTGAATGGGAGGCTTATCTAATTTTACTTTGAAGCAGTCCCCCAAAGGGTATACAGCAAGCACTGGAAATCTTCAATTCTCTATACGGTATTTGTAATGTAGTTTTCCAAATAACAATTAGTTAAAATGGAAAAAATCTGAAAACATTAGCATTGGGGGACATGATGAACAAAATGCATCCAAATTGTTTGAAAACTGAGTATATGGACCATGAAGTCGCAATATAGCCTGCCTGGAGAAATCTGCATCACATGGAACTTAAAATAACAGAATTGGAAGGGACCTTGGAGGTCATCTAGTCTAACCCCCTGCTCGAGCAAGAGATGCTAAACTATTTCAGACAAATGGCCTGCTGGTCTCTCCTTGAAAGCCTCTGGCGATGGGGCACCCATAGCTTCTGAAGGCAAGCTGTTCCACTGGTTGATTATTCTGTTAGGAAGTTTCTCTTTAATTCCAGATTGCTTCTCTCCTTGATTAGTTTCCATCCATTGTTTCTTGTCTGACCTTCTGGTGCTTTGGAGAATAAGTTGATCCCCCTCTTCTCTGTGACAGCCCCTCAAATACTGAATGCTGCTATCATGTCACCCCTAGTCCTTCTTTTCATTAGACTAGATATTTCTAGTTCCTGCAACTGTTCTTCATATGTTTTTAACCTCTAGCCTCCTAATCATCTTTGTTGCTCTTCTCTGCACTTTTTCTGGAATCTCAATACCGCACCACATTTGCTCTGCATTTTTAGAGTAAAATCATTTCAAATTCAGTGAAACAATCCTGAAAGATCTGTTCAGAATGAGACCTGAGAGAAGATCAATTTCATAAAATCCAAGAAAATGAAACTGACATATCTGTTGGCCACTGTAGCAGATCTGTCAGTTTTCCACCCGTTTATAATCTGGTTTAGCATTACACCGTTCTAGAAATTATGCATTTCTTTTTAACGAGGATGTGGCTGGCTGAATCAAAGAACATGATGGCACCCCAAATGCTATGTACCCAACTAACTGGGTAGACTGGTGGCTGAATCTTAATTCAGATTTAGAAATTTGGCCAATATCTTCAATTGGACCCACAGAGTCTAGAGCATGATCATATGGTCTCTGTAGATCAGGGGTAGGCAACCTTGGCTCTTTTATGACTCGTAGACTTCAACTCCCAGAATCTATTCAAGCATCTGCCAGCTCAGTGTTTTGAAATTTGACAACCTTAAGATGTGTATTTCAACTCCTAAAATTTCTCAAAGATGTCCTTGACCATAATATGTTGTTTTGTTTTGGTTTTTTTGCTTGGTGAATAGTGTAATTAGCCACAATTTAGGACAGGGGTCTTCAAACTTGGCCCTTTTATGGCTTGTGGACTTCAACTCCCAGAATTCCTCAGCCAGGCACACGTGCCTGGCTGAGGAATTCTGGGAGTTGAAGTCCACAAGCCATAAAAGGGCCAAGTTTGAAGACCCCTGATTTAGGAGATGGGCTTGGTTGATTGGGCTGACTGCAGTGGTGGCCTAGAACAATGTGCCAATACATTGTTGTTGTTTCGTTGGGGTTTTCTGGGTTGTGTGTACCTCATCCGAGACTCAGAATTGTTTTTTTTTTTTAAAAAAAAAAAAAAGGAGAGAGAAAACAGGAGACCTAAAACAATCAGGATTTTTTTTTAAAAAAGGTCCGTAACTCCTCGTCTCATCTGGAAAACAGTTTGAATATTCAAAGTAGCCTTTAAAAAAAAAAAAAAAAGAGTCATATTTGTTAGATTCAGACTTCATGCCAAGACATAATTCCGAATGTAAAATTGCAATGACCTGATTTATTCAAAGTACTTTAACTGAACGAAAGAAATTCTATTATGGTTTATCTGGATGGGTGAGCTCACCCCAAATCTAAACCATGGTTGGAATTTCATCGCAATTCCAAAGGCAGGAGACAGACACACATATCTAAGCTGAACACAGAAGCCTTCCTTGTTGGATCTCAGCCTCTACCTGAGTATTACCAACTTAAAGCAAGATGGTCTAAGTAGGGCCACGAGAAGGCAAATTGAAAGCTAATTATTTGAGCAAATATATTTTTTAAAGAGCAATGTAGCCACATACGCTTTGTTTTGGAATGTCAGAGGCATCTTTTCATTCCAAAAGGAAGGGTAGCTTGAGGTCAAAAATGTTGTGAGAAACCACATTGCCAGGACACACAGCTGTGACTGCACATAACCCATTGGTTCCTTTTTTTAATTTGAAGTTTACCTCTTTCAATAAAGCACCATAATTAATTTTTAATAGGCAACATGCATTCTCTTCCCTGCCCTTGCTGGGGAAACATATTTTTTAATTTCTCGGTCTGTTGTTGTAACTATTTTGCCCTTTTCAATTCATATTCTCTTTCCTTGAAGATCCGCTAAAATCCAGGCTAAGCATTTGCTTTAAAAAAAAAGGGGGGGGATTGAAAGGACTAGAGAGAACAGCAAAATCAGGAGGGCATAATGGGAAAAGCCCCACACTATGAAGTGTGTCCTTGAACAAAGACTTCCCATTTCCCTTCTCATCCAAGAAGCTTCTTCAATTCTTTTTATTTTTAAATTTATTATTTTATCATAGAAAATAAAATACAAAACAGTAAAGCAAGCAAGCAAAATAAAACGAAACAAAAGCATATATTCAACCCTAACAACAACAACAAAAAGAAAAAAAAATAGCGTACAAAAAAAGAGAGGAAAAAGTGGTGAATTAAATTTAACATTTAACAGGTAGGATGGCTGGGTGCTGATATACACATATATCTGTAAATATATACAGTATATGTGTGTCTAGATCAGTGGTTCTCAACCTTTTTAATGCCGCGACCCCAACCGGTCGTAAGTCGAGGACTAAACCGGTCGTAAGTCAAGGACTAAACCGGTCGTAAGTCGAAGACTAGACCGGTCGTAAGTTGAGGACTACCCAACCGGTCGTAAGTCGAGGACTTTCCCTGCCCGGGAGCGCTGCGCACGCGTGGTTCTGCCCCCTGTGCCGGCTGAGGCGTATCTGGCAAGCGGCAGAGATGGAGCAGGCCGACCACCAGCTGGCCCAGCCCAAGGGAGGTAAGGCACCCGCCGGAAAAGGGGGGAAAAAATGGCAGACAAAAAAAATGGCCAAAAAAAATGGTGGACAGCCTTGCTTGGCGACCCCCGTGAAATGGTCGATCGACCCCAAATGGGGTCCCGACCCACAGGTTGAGAACCACTGGTCTAGATAGATAGATGATAGATAGATAGATAGATAGATAGATAGATAGATAGATAGATAGATAGATAGATAGATAGATAGATAGATAGATAGATAGATAGATAGATAGGTCAAGGCACTTCTCTATGCGAAGGAACACACATCGCCTGCATAGCAGTTGTCTGCAGGTTGTGTGTCCGTGAAAGCAGTCACAGTCTGAGGACACAAGCTGACCTCTGAAATTCAAGTCAGGTCAGACTACATTAGCAATGGGAAAGGACACCATCAGGACATACCCAAGTTGTGGGCTTGATAGGGAAGGATAATAAAATGTCTGTTTAAGATTTGGCGTCTTCTTTGACCCTGAAGCAACTTTTGCCTCAAGAATGATCTGAGAACTCTCTAGAAGCAGAGTTTCCCAGCAGGTTTTCCTAACCGACAAAAGACAGACCATGAGAATCAGTTGGTGAAGTGGTTAAGGTGCTGGCCTAGAAATCAGGAGATCATGAGTTCTAGTCCCGCCTTAAGCATGAAAGCCAAGTGGGTGACTTTAGGCCAATCATCAGGAGACTGTGAGTTCTAGTGTTGCCTTAGACATGAAAGCCAGCCGGATGAGTTTGGGCCAATCACCAGGAGACGGTGAGTTCTAGTCCCGCCTTAAGCATGAAAGCCCACTGGGTGACTTTGAGCCAATCATCAGGAGACTACGAGTTCTAATCCTGCCTTAGGCATGAAAGCCCTCTGGGTGACTTGGGGCCAATCACCAGGAGACTGTGAGTTCTAGTCCTGCCTTAGGCATGAAAGCCCGGTGGGTGAGTTTGGGCCAGTCACTCCCTCTCAAAAATCTAATAAATAGATAAAATAAACTGGCCTCATGGACCAAGTTGGTAAAATATGCTTGGCTGGAATGTGGTTGGCAATCTTCCCCCCCCCCAGGTTATACAAACACAATCCATCTACTGAGCCTCGTGAGACTGGCAATTTTTTTAAATCAAAGATTGAGCAATGGGGGTTGGGAGAGGATGTAGGAGAGATGCTTCCCCTGTGGGAAGGAGGCAAGTCTCTGATCCACTGCTGGTTTCACAAACCACACCAAACCGCCCCTTATAGCTGAGATTTCTTAAATGCATAATGTTCACACAATATGCTAAGCTCTAACCAGAGTTTAGAACAGAGATCTCCAAATTTGGCAACTTTAGGACTTGAGGACTTCAGTTCCCAGAATTCCCCAGCCAGCTATGATTCTTCCTCAAGGAAAAAAAAAACACAATCCAGTTGCGTTCTGAAAAAGCACCTTTGTGACAACTATGACCTGGATGACTGAGAATCTCCACAGACATCTGGGGGTTGAAGTCCACGAGTCTTAAAGTTGCCAAGTTTGGAGACCTCCGGTTTAGAAATATTCATTTTAGCTGGGCCTGGCTCTTTAGTTGAGTCACCAGTAGGACCTGGTTAGTACAGTATTAGGGTAGTGAGTACC